TTACATCAACACTGTTGCTTCTTTGTTATTTTCTTCTTGAACAACATTTGGAATCACATTTTTTTCTAGAGAAATATGATCATTAACCTCACTTGCAATTTCAAAAGGTCCCTCTTGTAGACTTGAGCTTTCTGCAGGCATAACGAAATTACCAGAATGCCCTTCAGTATTCAGTAATGCAGAAATGCAAGAAGTTGTGGCTCCAACGTCATCTTCTTTTTTCCAATTTCCCCCTCTGGGACTCCACGGGATAACCTTACAAGCATTAGATTTTTTGGTATCAGATTGTTCCCTTTTTAATGTTTGAGCAAGATCCTGCATAAGTAAATAGTGCATTAATTAATGTGGATATATAAGGTTGTTTCATTTTTACAATATTACCCTTGTTTATTTTTAAAAGTTTTAATACAACCTCCCACAAATGAGGGTAAAAGTTTTACATATGTAATTGATTTTATTTATAATATTAAAAAAAAAAAAAAAAAAAAAATTAGTTTCTCACCATGTTTTAGTTAGGTACAATTAGATTTAAAAAATTGCAATAATATCAGATAAACAACTATTTATGATTTTATTATGATGTTTTGAAATATACATTCGTTTGTTCTTAACAAAAGGGTAAAATAGTCATTTATTTGTATTCAGAAAGTTCATTCAGACTAAAAAAAGAAACAGATTTTGTGTATTCAACACCTATTCCATACAGAAAATCATTTATCTATTCATACTAAAAAAGTTCATTCAGACTAAAAAAGAAACAGATTAGTTTAAGTTATTTATCATGCTGTGATTAAATAGAATTCCATTTTTATCATTATTTATATCAGTTACAAATTATTCAAGTATTTCAATTTTGTTTATCTTTGTCATTTACAACTTACAATTTAAATTTATATTAGTATATAATTATATTTATATTACCTCTTGATGTATGACCAAAGACTTATCTTGCTTCTTGATGTTATTTGACTTCTTCCTGACAACAACAAACCAAGAATCAAATTCAAAAAACTGAAAAAAATAATAATAATAAATAAATCTACAAGTTGCTCAAACATACTTACATCAACACTGTTGCTTCTTTGTTATTTTCTTTTGGATTTGCATTTTTGTCTTGAGAAATATGATCATTAACCTCGGTTGTGTGTAAACCTGAGCTTTCTTCAGGCCTAACGAAATTACCAGAATGCCCTTCATGGAACTGAGAATTCATCAAAGCAGAAATGCAAGGAGTTGTGGCTCCAACGTCATCTTCTTTTTTCCAATTTTGCCCTCTGGGACTCCACATGATTAACCTTACAAGAATTTGATTTTTTGGTATCAGATTGTTCCCTTTTTGATGTTTGAACAAGATCCTGCATAAGTAAATAGTGCATTAATTATCATTTGAAGTAAGGTGTTGTTTCTTTAAGAGTAAATTACACAAATGGTCCCTATGGTTTGGGGTAATTTGCGCATTTGATCCCTAACTTATTTTTCTAACTTGGGAGGTCCCTACTATTTGTTTTTGTTGCACGTTTGGTCCCTATCTTACATAAAAAAGACTATTTTGCCCTTTGATTTTTTAATTTATTCAAATAAAATAGGGTAAGTAAGGTAAAGTAAGATGAGGTGGAAGTGGGATTGGGATTGGGTGTGTTTATTTAAATAAATTAAAAAATTAAGGGCAAAATAGTCTTTTTATGTAAGACAGGGACAAGCGTGCAACAAATACAAACAGTAGGGACCTTCCGAGTTAAAAAAATAAGTTAGGGACCAAACTTGCAAATTACCACAAGCCATAGGGACCATTCATGTAATTTTCTCTTTATTTAAATAAATTAAAAAACCAATGGCAAAATAGTCTTTTTGGGTAAGATAGGGACCAAGCGCGTAATAAAAACAAACAGTTATGAGTTTTAAAAAAAAAAAAAAAAAACAAAAAAAAAAAGTTAGGGACCAAACGCACAAATTACCCTAAACCATAAGGACCATTCTTGTAATTTACTCTTCCTTTAAACTTAAAATCATGTGTTTTACTCTTTTTGGTGAAGGTATATTAATTACCTCATCACAAGCTTCAATAGCATTTATTGGATGCTTGATAGAAGAGTTATCTTGCCACTTGATGTTATATGACCTTTTCCTAACAAATAACAACAAATCAAGATTCAAGTTTTAACATTTTTTCCCCTAAATTAGGGATTGAGTTTTCAAGATTATAAAGTATAAACAAGTCAAAAACTGGGTTTAAAGCTACTTACTTCAACATTGTTGGACTCTTTGTTTCTTGAAGCACTTTCACTTTAGCTTCAAATTCTTCCCCAAAGCTTATCTTTGACACCTCAGCTTCTACACTATGTGTAGTTGTTAACATGCTCTCAATAATTATCCCCATTTCTTGATGCCTTTGATTTTCATTATTGTTTTTAAATTCATCTTCAATTGGTATTATATCCAAACTCTGTGGATAAGTACTTGAATAAGTTGAGCCACTTTGTTCTACCAAAAGATGATCATTAATCTTAGTTGCAATTTCACATGGGCCCACTTCAACCATAGTCAAAAGTTTTTGTTCTTGATGTTGAATGGATTGTTCAGATGTAGACACTGAAGTGGAGATATGATCATCTTTTGTTTCAAGAACAAAAGGAACTCTTTCATCATTTTCAGACAATTGAATGTTGGCATTCTTGCCTTCTCTGTTCTCCTCATTACCCTTCAATGCAATTTTCTCAATTCCCATTTTGCCCTTGTGTTCAAGGATTCTTTTCTCTTGCTCAATGACCTTATGTGACTCAACATCAGAAGCACTAATACACTCGTATTGCATTTTTCTCACTATATCTTGATATACATTTGAATTTAAGACTCCTTTGTTCACCATGTAATTGGATGATGGACTACCACAAGGGGTAGTATGAGAATTTAATACAGAACATTGTCCATTCTGTGTTTTTGGTGTAGCTGTTGTCTGAAACACACATAAGGGAAACAAATGATTTTAAGGTTGTGTTTGGTGAGTCACAGTTAGCTGATAAGCTAGCTTATTTTTAGAGTTTTTTTATGTTGTCATGTTTGGTAAGCCAAAAAGTAGCTTATAAAAAACTACTTAGACTAGCTTTTTTAAAATTTTCCAAATATACCCTTCTTTTAAATGCCTTTTTATGTCTTTTTATATCTTTCATCTAGTTTTTCAGTTAGTTTTACCAAACGCCATTTTTTATCAGCTAGATTTTCAGCTATCAGCTAGTTTTATATTTAACAACTAACTTTTCAGCTATCAGCTAGTTTTTCAGCTAAAAAGCTACTTAGACTAGCTTTTTAGAAGCTTTTTTAAAAAATTTCAAGTATACCCTTTAATTAATTATAGAAACACATTCTTTTAAATGCCTTTTTATATCTTTCATCTAGCTTTTCAGCTAGTTTTACCAAACGCCATTTTTTATTAGCTAGATTTTCAGTTCAGTTCATAGATAGTTTTTTATTTAACAACTAACTTTTCAGTTATCAATTAGTTTTTCAACTAACAGCTAGCTTTTCAGCTAGTACACCAAACATAGCCTAAATAAATGACTTATGGATATTTTTACATCTTCATAATCGAAATATAAATAAAAAAAGCAAAATTACCTGATCAAAGAATCGGAGTGAAGGTGAAGGCAATCTTAGTCCTGAAGGCAATGAGTTGTTCTGTAGCAATTTAAAGTCCAGATTACTTCATTTCAAGAATTTTATAAATAGCATTAAGAAGTAAGAACTAGAAATTTGATAATTAATACTAAAACATTGGAAAAGCTAGAACCTTTACTGAAGTTGTTGGAGTATATTGAGGTAGAGTTTTAGCTGGAAGAGGGGTAGATTCGTCATGAATTTCACATGAATGCAATCTATCTGGAACCATTTCTAACCCACTATGAGCTTTGTCAACATGTACAAACTGTGATTTGGTTGAAGAAGTTGCTTTAGAAGATGAGTGTGTCTACACAAATTAAAAGGATCATGTTACAACACTTAGTTACTTACAGATTCAAACTTCAATGGAGTCATACTTCCAAAATATTTTACTTTTATATTGTTACTTCTGAAAGGATAAAGGTCAAAATAGCCCTTAATTTCTTACCGATTTTACAGTCTTTTGAGCTAGCTCTTTAGAATGGGGGTTGTCTAATCCTGTTTTTGCTTTAAAGTCTTTTAAAGAGCTTTTCAACCCAACATTCTTCTGAGAATTTACAGCTGCAGGAAGAAAAAGAGAAAAGAAAAACAAATTCAGACACCATATATAGAAATGTGCTCCAGAATTCATTAACACTTACGTGGTTTAGGAATCAGATTATGCCTCAATTGGCTTGTTGTTGTTATAGAACCCTTTGTAGAAGAGCAAGATCCGAGTTTTGACATGGGTAGTTTAGGAAGCTTGGAATCCTTTTTTGTTGTTCTCAAAATGTTTGAATTTGGCCTTTTCAAAGTACAAGGAGTTAAGGCTCACAACCAAGAATAGGTCAAATGTATCCCAAAGGTCAAAGTCAAAGGTCAAACCAATTTAATTTGTTATTGAAAGTGAAAGTCTTATCTTGCTGAAACACAAAAAGGATATGATGATACAGGTGAAGGGGCTGAACAGACACCAATCTTGGACCTTGTTCTATTTGAATTTGAATGATCAGTTAAGAGAACTTTGTGTGTAATCTGCAAACATCATATTTTGAAAATGAGAAACAACTCATTTAGGCCTAGATACAAACAGAGGATAATAGTTTTAAGAAAAGACTCCCAACATACTTTATGATGAGGTAAAGAATCATGATTTCCCACTCTGTTTCCCTTTGATGTGTGACTCTTGTTATGTAACTCTTTAAGTAGAGCTTCTTTAGAGGCCTCCATATCATTGGGTTCATTTCTATATCTGCTACCTGAAGAAAATGAGCTATTTCCCTCTTCACTTATAGTAGGCAATCCCCTTCCACATGTGTAAGCATTGATACCAGTAATCATATTCAATTCACGTGGATCGAGAATGCCTATGAAATGAAGAAAGTGTTTATTACTCATTTACTCATATCATTCATCAAAAGCATAAGAATGAGGAATCCAAAAACATAATCTAGTTTTGAAATTTAATACTAAAAAAGGGAAATTGGACAACCTTCATCAGTAAAGAAAGCTCTATCCCATGCTAAGCTTTTCCGTAAATTGCATTCTGCTCCCTTCTTTCTCCTCTTCATTTGGATAGGTCCCATACCTAATTTTGGCATTTCTAAATTGTTTGAGTTTATATTCTCTTTATTGTTGCTAGATTCAGAAGATGAAGTGGTAGGTTTCTCTGTATGAACACCATCTTTCAAACTTTCTGCACATATGAACATCATTATTTAACTGTCGTTTTGTGTCCACGACCAGATTAAAAGAAAAAAACTTAGCCGACAAGTATAGTTGTGAGTAACTGACAACATGGTATTACTTATTTTAAAGAACAAATTGTATCGAAAAAGAATTTCAGTAATAACACTAAGCATAACAGCTGGGAATTCTGGAATGCCCAAATCATCGATTTAACTTGCATATCGTAAAACAGGATCAGGATCAGACCAAACTTAACTAACCAAACAAACCCAATGACTTAAACCCCATAAACGAACCTGGAAGGGGAAAATGTCAACCGAAAGGGAGTCGTATTTGAGACAATGTAAAGCATCATTAAACATCATTTCAAGCAATGTAGCTGAAATTTTACTTCTATTGCACAAAATTATAAAAATCTGGTAGATACTTACTGGTGCGTGAAGGTGGAAGTGCGAGAGGCGAGCAATTAAAGTAATTGAATGATGATTTCGAAGGTGTTTGCTTGGGATCTGGAAACGGTTCGATAAGAGAATCGTCTTCTTCAGTCAGTTCCATCAATGGAAGATCCGATTCCATGATTCGGAGCCCTAAATGTGTGTTTGGGTGAGTGTGATTAAAAGCTATTTTCAAAACATTATGCAAGCGCGAAAGCGAGAGAGATGTTCAGATCGGGCATTGGGGTAACGAGTTGGCTTATTACTAGCAAGTAGCACCTGCGTGCGTAAACAATTTAAAATATTCCTGTTGACTATTATTAAATTAAATAAATTGCTTATATAATTACTGCTTTAATCCAAAAGTTAATAACAATGTCAAAAATAATAGTATATTTTTTAGGGGTGAGCAAACCCGAACCAAGAAACCGAGAAACCGATAAAAACCGACGAAACCGAAACCGAATCAAAACCGACGGTGTGGGTTTTAAATTTGTAAAAACCGACTTTCCGGGTTCGGTTTCGGTTCTGAGCTTGTCATTAATAGCAATGTAATAGTCTAAGTTAACATTTGTAACCCATTTTAAAATAATAAGAATGTATTATTTGAATATTATGTGTTTTATGCTTAATTGCTTAATTGTGTGGCTTAAATAAATTAAGAATAAAAATATGAGTTAAAATGAAATATTAGATAAGCCTGATATCGATACATGAAGACGTAGTGGTCGTGACGAGGTTTCCGGATATATAAAGAAATGCTGAAATCCGAGTTATAACGAAAAAGTTATGACCTGTCGAAGTTTTGCGACAGAACCGGTACGGCACAACGCAACGTAAATAGTGAATTTACGATAGAGTGATATCTAGCCTTAGAGATTTAAACAAAAGTCGTAGAATATGTTAAACCGAGAGTGTGCATGAAAAGAACGTCTAAATCTAACTTAGTATGAGGAAGTTATGATTTTCCGAAGTTTCGATTTAGCAGTATGCAGCCCGAAACTCGAATTTGAGATCGAGTGATTTCTAGCCAAAATTTTCTAAATGAGAATCGAAGATCTCATCGATAGTAGTCCAACGGTAAAAAGACAGATGAAACGGACGTCAGATGAAGAATATATATTTTCTAACGAAGTTTTCCTATCCTGACCTACTAAAATAATATAATAAAAGTTAAAGTCAAAATTAGCCGACGGAGTCTAAACAAGAGTTGTAGAGCATAATCTCACCTACACGTGGATATAAAGAACATCAAAAACGGAGCTTGTATGCGAAATATATGAATTTCTGAAGTTCGGAACACAAAAATCGAGGTTGTGTCAGAACTCACGACGTGAGCACAGTGGGCACAACGTGAGCACAGACCTGATGCCTTCCAGAGCAAGTGGACGAGTGACGCATGCAGTGACCTACAGAGGTCACGATGTGAGCATTAGAAACTCACGACATGAGTGCAGAAATCTCACCCTATAAATATAAATGAAGGGTCAGCCGATTTTGGTTGCTCCTTCCTTACTCTCCCCCTCCGTATTACATCGTTTTGCGTGCAACTCATACCTCAAAGCCCCGGTATCATTCCCGTGACCTGAAGCGAGTCCGAAGCCCAAAGATCCCGAGAAGAAAAGAGTTTTCGAGCCGAAACTCTAGCTGCGAGAAGCCCGTTGTGTGAAGATCTTCCAGATTTACCGAAGAATACTACTCTTAGAGTCGTAGTTATGTCTGATCATCTTTCTGATCAAGTGAGTGTATATTCTCTTTCTTCTAACACATAGATATAAAGTATTTACATTAGAATATGTGTTACGTGTGTATAAATATACGTGTATATATATTATATGTTTATCTAGAATGAGTATTGAATGAGTATCTTATCAGTTTTTAAGTTGCATATGTATGTGGTTATCTACAAAAATGTTGGGTAGAACTTGGGTAGATAGTTGATGTGTGATAAACTGATGAGAGGCTTCGATGTGATTGTGATCTAGTTGTCCAGCAGAATATCGATGACGACCACGGACTTTTCTAGATAGTTTAGTGGAACGCCGGTAGACTCATAACCTGTAGGTGTAGTGAACTTGGGTGTTCATTTGTTGTATTCTATCCCCCTCATGGTTGCCTTTAGGATATTTATTGTTGAGGAAGCCCTTTGTAGTAATGTTCGTCCCGATGAAAATTCCTAGACTAGGTTCCTTGTGATAGTTATTGTTTTAGGGACGTAAAGTGAGGATAACGGGATTGGGTAATCGGGTTATTGTTGGTTGGTGTCACACCCCAAAACCACGAACGGCAGAAACGTTCAGGGGTGGAGGACGTCATGTACAGTATCACAAACAGTGTAAAATAGTAAACAAGCAACAACATCATCCATTGCATTATAAGTAAAGTTTTAATACATGTGTGTTCTTTCGTTGTAATAAGACACCAAAAATATATAATCAAAATAAAAGACGAGTCTTGTATGCTCCGTCTTCTCAATACCTGGCCACCGTACCTGTCTACTGATGACCTGAGAATACAAGTTATTTTGAAAGAGAGTATCAGCTTTAAAGCTGGTGAATTCATAAGTATTTAAGTGTCATTGACTTGCTTTGAAAAGCTGTTTTAAAAGTCATGTAAACCTTTAAATGAAAATGTTGATATAAGTATGAAAAGCCCTAGAAAATCCCTTATTTTCTATTATTATGAAATGTAGTCTTCAACCCAGGCCCGAATATTTTGTAAGTAAAATGATAGTTTTTCCTTCTATTAACTAGTACTAAAGTACTTAGTCTAACTCATCGTTTATGTGAAAGTATCACAAAATAAAGTAAACAGGAAAATGTACTAATGTAAGTGTTGTCACTGGGTACTAGGAGTAACCCAACATCGCAATAAGCGAAAAGTATAATCTAATGAACATCCGAAGATTGTCCACTTCTCCTCTGTAGCAGCAGCAGATGGGTGGAAGGGTTAGTCCCGATATCGATCTACCTAATATAAATAGTAACCTAATGATCATCCGAAGATTTTCATCTCATCCTCTGTTGCAACAGCAGGATGGAGGAATGGTTAGTTCCGATATCGATCTACCTAGTATATGTAGTAACCTAAGACCTCCGTAGATGGTCATCGACCACTGGTGCTAATCAGTGGGATTCGGAATAGTTAGTCCCACCTATATATCCCATTGAACCGGGATAGAAAAGATAATTTACACAGAAAGTACTAATAAATCATCTTCGCGAGTCAATATACGAGTATCCAGGTAAGTGAATACAGGATAATGCATCTATGTAACAGTGTTCATGTATGGTATTCATGTAAGTGTGTTCATGTATCAGGTAAGTATATGTAAACATGTTCATGTACCAAGTAAGCATATGTATATGTACTCATGTATTAGGTAATGTACTGGTGTAGACTCATGAATGAATGACTCTTGTGTGATTCCTTGTAATAGGAATAATGTTTTATTTCTTTTAACTATCCCTATGATAATTAACTGAAAGGTAATTGGTTGTTCAAGAAGGTAAAGGTAATGGTTTTGCAAGATATCTAAGAGTTTTGAATAATAATTAAGAGTGACTTGATGTCATGTTAATAAACATTTCAAAACCAATACTTTTGTTATCAAGGTATTTTAAGATAGAAAACCATTTCATGCATCACATTTTGTAGTATGTGAAATCTGTTGGATGAAAACACAGTTATAAAATACATATTAGTGATTTAATAACATGTTGTTTTCTACTTGTATTCCCCCCCCCCCCCCCTTAAAGCATTTAAAAACATTTAAAACATTGATTAAGGGGTATGAACTCACCTGTAGATGGTGGTTTGGATGAACTGGACGGTGCAGGATTGTTAGGTGTCAAGTGAGGACTTGTACACACACTACGATCCTAATGAACATATAATCACACATATATGCACTCAATTAGACTTATTTACTAATTGATAATGTTAAGACATCCTAGAACATAATAAACACTTTATATAGGTGTTTTAAGCCCTAAGGATTGCATCTAAGCTATTATGGGACAAGGTACTTGGGTTTAGGGTTCCAAAGGACCCTATACTTGAGTTTACTCTCCATATATCATCACACATGGAGTTTACAGTGGTAAACTCTTGAGTTTACGGCCGTGAACTCACAATCTTGGTGATATTTTGTGTTTTGAAGTCCCAAATGATCCCTAGAATTATTCCAACTTGGTGGTTAAATTCTTGGAAGGGTTTAAGGCATAGAAACACCCCTTTGAGGAGTTTACGGCCCTAAGGCCATTTCCCTTAGAGTTTGCGACCGTAAACTCTTAAGGATGGATGTTTTTGATGCTTTCAAGTCTTATTCACATGTAGAATAGGTCTCAAACTTTTATTCCAAGCATATCAAGGCCTTTGGCACACTTTGGTGCCTTTGTTTGATGTTCACGGCCCAAGAACCTTATTAGGGCCGTGAACTCACTTTGAGGGGTGTTATTGATGTGTTTAAGGCCCTTGATTAAATGGGAACAAGTCTATGTAAATGCTTAAGGCTTTAGGTGCCTTAAAAGCACCCTTTTGTGCATGATTTTGGAGTTCACGGTCCAAGATCCTCTTGGGTCGTGAACTCCCAAACTTAGGTGATTCTTTGATGTTTTCTTGTCCCTAATACACTTCTATACAAGCCCAAAGTAGTATCATATCACGGGGACATGTCTAGGCTTTGTTTCGGGAGTTTACCGCCCAAGAACACCTTGGGGAGTAAACTCCTAAATCTAGTGATTTAGCCATCTAAATCATGTTATAAACACATATTAAGCTATCTAACACTACTAGCAAGAGGTACTCACGTTTTGGGATAAAAAACCGAAGATCTGAGAGAGAGAAAATGGCTTTTCTCTAGTTGGAAATGCAAATAATGAATGAATTTGGTTCAGAATTCTATTTATAGTCCTGAGATTTTTGGCAGAAAATATTTTATTCCCGAAATAATCTCTAATATAATAGAGTGTTGGAATAACAATGTTGCACAAAACTCTAGTGCATCCACTCTCCTAATATTTCTTGAAGTGTAAACCCTAAATTACTCAAACTTATACGGAAAAGTCTGAAAGTTTACTGTAACTGATATAACTTCTATTGAAGTGGTATTGTTTATACAGAATGGAAATTCCGGGTTGTCACAGTTGGTGAAATTAAATATAATTATTTATTGTGGGTTGAAAACCCTATATGCTCACCAGGCTCCCAAGCCTGACCCACTCAGTTTCTTTGTATTACAGGTAGTGGTGCGAGAGCATAAGTTGGAGAAC